CCTAACTTTAATGCTCGCGAGCGTGCACCGGCAGTATTAAATTATTTCATACGTTTCCAACATAAAAATGTAACTATCAACAAAAGTTCCTTTCGAAGCGAATTGGTTTGAACAAAGTACGCGAGGGACAATGGAATTGCTCGAGCCGTGGGTTCAAAGACCAAAAACAAAAACGAAAAAATTCAACCAATAAAAGTTCGTCGACATGTACGGTAAACCACGAGCCCCATGACAAAATCAATTCGAATAAACGAACTTCGATTAAACGAAACTTTTTCCGTGTGTATCGTCCGCGTGTCGCGGACAACTAACGGTCGAGGGGAAAAAAGGAACAGAGTAATTTATTCGCGGGTAGGCAACACAAAGCAGCCTGGTTAAAAATTGAACAATCGCGATCGATCGAGGGACGCGAGCGCTGCTTTCAGCCCGAAAATTCCAGCCACGGACATCCGGTTAATTTGAAAATGCCCCTAGTCCGCGGCAGCAGCAGCAGCAGCAAAAGCTTTGAATTCGACAGAACGGGGTGGTGAAACTTTTCCGCGGGTGCGATGCGCAAAAAATTCAAAGGAAATTATACCATCATGAGCTCGCCGGGGGTATTATTCGACGACGTTAATCCGCCGGTATTACCAGTGCCATTTCCACCGGGGATAAATAAATGAAAGAAATATATTCCAAGCGTGGCCGTGCCTCTTCGGATTTTCACGTGAAAAACGAAAAAGGAGAGGGAGAAAGAAGAGAGAGAGAGAAAGAGACGAGAAAAAATCGCTTTTTAGGTCAAGCGCCTTCGCTTCTCGCCCGAACGACACGTACGCGGAATCAACCCCCTGGTGTCACCATCCTCCACCGGTTTCGCATTATTCACCGAAGAACGGGCCGGAAGTGGACGGTCTCATCCCGACGTCATCCCGGAAACCACTCGTGTCGACATTGACTCGGGCGAAGCTCGCTAATTTTCCTCCGCCGCCCCTATCATCCCCGCCTTTCCAGTTCCAGTTTTTCCTTCGACGGGTATTTTGAAATATAGGACGTACCACGCTATTTCCAGCGTCTATCGCCGGGTACTTTATACCGAGGCGGGAGCTCGCGCTCGACCAATCGATCGATCGTTCCCATCGGCCGCCGGGCCCTTAAGCGTTTCTCCCCTCGGTCCATCCCCTGCTGCTACCAGCTTCTCCCGTCGCAGATGCAAATTCGCTCGAGGCGAATCCGGCCGTGTAATTGCGGCCGTGTCGAAAACGCTCTCGTGAGTCCCGTATCTTTCTTTCAGCGTTTTAAGGGCAACGAGGGACCAAAGGACGGGATGTTCTTCGAGAAGTATCCCGGTGATTCGCGGTTGAAGTTTGGAACGACTTTCTTAGAAACAGCTTGGGATTCAGGAGATAAGGAGTTTCGTTTTCGACACCCTTTGATATTGTGATTTTAATTATACCGGGAGAGTTTGCTAGCGCAGGCGTCTTGTAAGAGGATGACCGGTTAATTACTCGTTTAAATATTCCTTTGCAGCTTAATAGAGATTGATAACACGGCATTATTTAACGAACATGTTCCCGTAACCGGTGCCATTTTTAAATGTTCCGCCCGACGTTGGCAGCGAACGGAGGAAATATTTCAAACGGCAATTCATTAAGTAGTTCCATAAATTCTTGCCTTTATTGCGCGTAATTTAACTTCTACTCTGAAACGGGGCGCAACGCGCCGCGGGGAACAAAAAAATATGAAAGGAATTTAAACGAGTGGCATACTTCGCGGGCCGGAAAAAATGAAACAATATCCTCACGGCGCGGGGCATTCGTACCGTCCGACCGAGCAAAGTTTTCCGTTGCCCGCCCGGCAACTGTCCCGAGGTTTTTAATCCACTCCGATTATTTTTCCGATAGTGGCTCGAAACCGCTCCAACTCTTCTCTCTCTCCCTTTCTCTCGTTTTTCGGGGGGTCTCTCCGTTTTTCCCTCGTCTCGTTCGAGCAGACCTTGCAGCGTTACCTTGCCATCGATACCTCGTCACGTGGCCGTTTCATTGATATATCCTTCCTGACCGCACCGTCGGTATCATGTTTGCCGATAGTTACGCACGATTATCTCGATATTCTGCATCGGATCGTTTCGTGTACGCTGCGCGAAATGGAATGTATTTCGTGAACGGTCAAACACAGATTTTCGTGAAATATTGGGGATCGAAACTGTGCACACAGTCCATTCAGCGAACGTTAAACTCTCCTTTCGGTGATGAATTATCTATTAGTTCAATATACGTATATTCCTCTAACGACGAGCATTGATAATCTCGTTGCAAATATAAGACCCTCGAGCTTGTTTTCAGACGAATGACGATTCAAAGCGTTTCATTGATACTTTGGTAGTTGAAATTTCTGTAGCTTCGAGGCTCGGAGAGTACGGTTCCCTTTATTCGGCTTGCGTAAGGAGGCGCACAAAAACGAGTGGCGACAAAGCGAGTAATACGATCTGCGTATTAACGTCAATTACACGGACAGCGAAGCTTTTAAGCCGGGTTACGAGGAATCGGACGCCGGCATGAACACGTTAAACTCGCGCAAAAACGGCCCTCCTGGCTTCCAGCGGCCGTGACGAAACAGAAAACTCCGGGATGTAAGCAAACACACGTGCCTACATCTTCGAGAAACCACCCCTAACAGTCGGCGCAACGTGCGTCATTGTTCCTGATGAAACACAACCTCTATACGAACATTTATGTAACCTGACACATAAAAAGAACCTCTCTTTCTCCCACTCTTAAGTATTCCAATAAAATCCAAATAAATTTGACCTTCTCAGGCTTCCTTCTCCTCAACCATAAAGAAACTGTACACGCGCCATAAAAGCATACAATTTACGGATTACTGATCGTAGAAACAACTGGTCAACAGACCTTCGATGAATAGTATTAGGATTTAAGACAAGGAATATTCGAACCCATAGTATCGACATTAAAAGATTTCGAATATGACGGTCTGTGGCCGTGGTTTTTGTTTCGTGTTAACGCACGCACGGAGAACGTGGCGAAAAGGTGGGTCCCATTGTGCTCGAAACCCAATCCGCCGGCTTTTCGGATCACGGGGCCCGGTTTCCGTTGGGAAAGCCCTGCTCTGCTGCCGGCCGCCTCGGGGCCTGCCTGGCCCCTCGGTAAATACACGGCCGGGCCCCGGATACCTGCTCCGATTCGGCTCGAGGCGAAGAAAGATGGCGACCGGTTCCTCTCCCAGAAGAGACACGGTACGCGAAACGTAAACACAATAGCAAACGTTTTCGACTCGAGCAGCCGTGCGTAAACGGCAAACAGAGAGATCTCCGATCGAATCGGGAGCAACGTTTATTCGCCTGTTTCTTGGAATAATTACCCAACGAGAATGATCCTCTCCGTTTACACGGAATCCCGCAACACTCGAGGCTGTGTAAATCGCGCGCCGATATCCGCTGGATAAACAGTCAACGGGAAATTCGTCAGCTTTCGTCCACCGCTAGATAATGGTTTATCTGCGTAACAATTTCGTCGATCGTTCGGTGCAAAGTGCTCCGAATTATCGGATCGAAGTTCGCGGATATAAATAGACGACGATCAGCGCCCGGGGTAAAAAGCTGCGGCGCACGAATGTGTATCGGACAACCGTGCAAGTTTCCGATAAATGATAAATACGCGCTGGAGAGTTGAAAAATTCATTTACCCATTAACCGACCCGTTAATTATTTACCAATCGCCACTTCTTCGAACGGCGAGCGGTCATGAGGGAAACATTAACAGCGGACGATTGCAATCTGATGGGACTTAAGCAGCAATAAACGTGATGGGAATTGTACGTGCTCCGAGTATTACGGTAGAGTACAATGTAAATATTGTCAATCGCTGACGAGTGGTAAGACGAGTAGTAAGACGAATAGTTAACGGAAGATGCGATTAAAAATGAGTCAACCGGGCCAGTTGGTGAGTTCTTCCTAAAGTGAAACCGGTTACATTTGCGGCATTGGGAAGGTCGTTCGAAGTAAACGAGAACGATAAGAAACGTTTGACGATATCGACTCAAGCACAAATACACCCCGAATGCTCGAATAATGCATTTGAAAAGCTAATAGCACGTGAAACGAGAATACCGACGAGAGCTACGTATTTACTTTCACTCCGGAGTGCCTTATGTGTCCTCTCGGTGCGCCTCGAGTCCCCTAACCTCTCTTTCGCGGAAGCCTCACTCAACGCGGTAAATAAGTAAATGGGTTTCCGCGAAGCACGCACTTTTACCGGGGGTAGCACGGTCAAGGCGACGGATCTTGCGTAAGATTACCCTAAAAACCATCCGGCGACGTATTTTCTCCCTTTACCAACGTTTCCCCGTTCGCCGTGCTCGCAGTCCCGGCGGAGTTGAACATAACCTCTAAACAGACACGATACGCGCGATACGTCGCTCGTAGAGCGTCCAGTCCGTTACGGTAGTAACAATAAAGCGAATCGAGAAACTCTGCGAACGATAAACTCTCTCTCTCTCTTGAGAGAGACAGAGAGAGAGAGAGAGAAAGAGAGACAGAGAGACCACGATTCGAGAGTAAGGTTATTTGAGTTTCGGAGCAACAACACCGTGCGTGCGCGTCGTCCGTCTGACCACGTCTCGACGCGTGGTGTTCCTCGTTAATCGGTTACGGGGAGAAGGATCGATCGCGGGGTTCACGTTCCAGCGATTCGAATCCGCGATTAAGCAGGCGATCGAATCCCGTGCACAGGTTGAAAATAGAAAGTAACCGTGGTCCGCGAGGCCTGGCGCCTCATATCGAACCGACGCCTTCGAACGTATCCAGCGAAGAGAGGGTAGACCGGACAAGGGAGAAAGAAAGAGAAAGAGAGAGTCACTGAGAGAGCGAGGGCAACGCAGAGACGCCTCCCTCCCTCGCAAACTGATTCGCTCGTTTTTCTCTGTCCCGCGTACGCGATAGCCGAAGTCATCGGTATATACCGGTGAACGCACTGTGTTCATAAAAAATGAAAACAATCACTTACGGGGTAGTACATCCCTTGCGGAGGAAGAAAAAACGCCCCAGAGCCCCACAGTTTGAGGCCGTTTTGCTCCACCGTTGTGCGAGAAAACAAATCCAACACTTCGTACCGCCTCCCCCTCCACACCGCCGCCGCCACCACCTCCTCCTCCTCCTCGTTCGCCTCGTCCTCCTCCTTCTTCTTTGCTGATTTCTTCTTCTACTCTGTTGTCCCTTCTCGCTCCTTCTTGGTTTCGTGCACTGTACGCGACGTTACCCGGCGCGTATCTTCCTTTCGCACGTATATATGTGTATTTTACATATATATATACGTAGAATATGTACGTACTAATAAATATATATGTATATATATATGCTTGCGTATATATATATGTATATATAAATATGTGTATATATATATATGTATATATACGTTTGTATACTAATATAGTGTACGAGTACACTTTCCCCGGTACATATATGTGTGACAAGGAAACACGGATACACCAAAAAGCGTAACAAGCGAGAGAGATACAACCCGTGCGATGTTTTTGCACGCACCACACGGACACTGTGGAGGGGGGTGGGGGGAGGCGCGCGCGCGCGCCGTTAGGCCTTTGCCGAACACACTCACCAGAGGAACGAACCGAGACGACGCACGACAATCGAACGAGACGAGGTTACAAAAACTGTTTTCTTCACGCGCACACGATCCAGCGGGACCCCGCGT